AGAGTGTGTGTGTTTGCAAGTGGAGGGAGGGGCAGAGGGAGAGGGAGCAAGAGAATCTCAGGCGGACTCCCTGCTGAGCATGGAGCCAGATGCTGGGCTCAATCTCATGACCCTGAGATCATGACCCTGAGCCAAAATCAAGAGTCTGATGCTTAACTGACTGAGCCACCCAGGTGCCCCAGCAAAGCAAGTCTTATTATGACATTACAAAGACATGAAAACCAAAATTATGTAAATTTGCTTAAGATTTCAACACTAGTGACAAAACAGGACTTGAAACCAGGTGTCCCAATACCAAATTCTAAAATCATTGGTATGTGACTTTTAATCCCACTATAGTGCCTATCCAGTGGTAATCAGAGCTATAGAAGAAGAGCTTTCCAAGTGGAAGAAATATGATGACCACAGCTTGAGACATGCCTGTTTTAGGGACTAGAGAGAAAACGATCCAATAAAGGAAAAGGAGACAGCAGTTAGAAAGTGCCAGAACACGAGGAGCCTGGGTGGCTCAGTTGGTTAAGCTTCTGACTCTTGATTTTGGCTCAGGTCATGGTCTCAGGGTTGTGAGATTGAGCCCCGTGTTGGGCTCCACACTGGGTGTGGAGCTCGCTTAAGATTCTCTCTTTCCCCCTGCCCTTCCTCCCCGCCCACCCACCCCCACACCGTCCCCTGCTCATGTGAGTTCTCGCTCTCTTTCTCTAAAAAAGAAAAGAAAAAAAAAGTGCCAGAAAAATATTTGATTATAGAAACCAAGGAGGGGCAGGGTAGGTGGAGAACTTCCAGAATGAGGGGATGGCTATCATTCTCAGGTATTGCCTAGAGGATCAGGATACTCAATTCTGACAACAGACCGCTTTCTTTATTGCACATTTGCCTTTTTCTCATTGTTCACTCTCATTTCACTTGTTTTGTCTTTAGCTCTTGAGCTAGAGTATAAATTCCTTGAGGGCAAGGTCTATGTCTTACTTTCCTTCTAGTCTTTGTGCTGCCTGATGCAGAGCTGTAGCCATAGACTGATATGAAATGTGAAAGCTCTCTGCATGCGGATGATTAATCATCACTAAAATTTTTCCAAAGACACAGGCTCTAGTGCCAAGAGCACATTTGTTTAAAATGTGCGCTTAAATTTGAATGAATCTGCCTAAATGCTGCCATATGTTCTTAGGCAGTTTCAGAAGTGTTTTAATACAATTTTACCTTTAAAAGGACAAACGTAGGGGCATGCTTATGAGACATAAAGACACCCTTAAATAAACACAGAGCAGACACCAGCACATTCAATCACACTTAAAACAGCTACACATAAAGAATGTTTTCTGAGGTTTAAGAAAATTTTAGCTAAGAGGACAGCAACTACTACTTCATGCAGGAAATATTTATGAGAAGTTACAAAATTGTAGGCATGGACTCCGACAGCATATTACTGCATTTTAATTATAGACTCCAGAAATACAATTTAATTTCATGTAAATTTCACATTCCTTTGAAATGGGTCCACTCTTCCATTATTTGCTAATGGCCACACTTTGCTGTGATTTCAGTGTATCCATGTAGACACTGAAGACAGCTATTGGGGATAGTCTCTGTGTTATTTACTTATATCAATCCCCAATTTGATTTTGGTGACAGTACTGTAGAATTTATCGTTGTGTGAATATAACAGTGAAATGAAACCTATGTTTAAGTTCTGCAAATAACTTCCAGTCACTTTCAAGACACCTCAACTTAGGTTCTAAATTTGAGTTGCGGTTTTGCAGGCACAGTTATTTTCCGATCCACTTCAGCATGCAAAATCACACACTGGCCAGATCTGGGTATAGTAATTGTGGCAACAAGTAATGGGTCACATTTTCAGCCCATTTAACTTACTGGCTACATCACCACCAAAACAATGCCAGTATTTTGACATCAGTGTATTTTGCTACTTGGTATAAATCAACAATGGTGTATATCAAGAACTCCTATTTACAGAAAGAAATTTCTGGTTAAAATAGCATCCAAGTGTGTTACTCTATCTGAATACATGAGCATCCATATGGAAATTTTTTCATTAAATCCCATTTTGCAGAGGTGGAGAGCTGCACCCATTTACTTATGTGAGCACTCATTTGGAATATTTTTAGATGATTTTTTATTTTTAGGTATCAGAATTTGCTTCTGATCATTTTAAATACATAGAATATTACAGATACAATTGAAGTCCTCTTGTTGGCCTCTTGTTTTGTATCCCTCACAAAGGCAACTCTTATCATTAATTCACTGTGTCCTTCCAAACCATATTTTTGTAGTTTAATGACCTGAGTTATAGAGCCATGAACAAATTTTTTTAGGTAACATTGCTTTTTTGATTACTTAAGTTCTATCACAGATATCATTTTGATTATCTAAGTTTATATCATTCTTTAATATGCTTTTTTTCTTCAGCATTTCAGAAATCCCGTCTGTCAATCTATCCAAAAGATGCTTCATTTTAACTTCTCTATAGTTTGAATTATCCCAGCTTATTCATCTTTTCTACCACAGATGTTCATTTAGGTGATACATCTTGCACCAATTTTTTGCTATCCCCAAACAGTGTTGCAGTAAATGTTCGTATGTGTGTATATTATCCACCCCTTTTCTCTCTCCTGGTGTTCTCTGTTTCAGATTTCTCTCCAGGAAATACCTCGTACAACTGGGTTGTAGGTTATATGCATCTGCAACCTTACCACATATTGTCAAATTGCTCTCAAAAATGGATTCTTAATGTATATTCTCACCAGCAGTATATAAAAGTTCCCATTTCCTTGTATCTTTACAAACCTTATCTCGTTAGACTTTTTTTTTTTTTAATTTTGCCAATCTGACAGATGTGAATGAAATAGTTTATCATTATGGCTCGAATTATTTGTCCTGATTATTTGTGAGTTTGAGCACTTTTTTTCAAATACTTATTGACCATGTTCAGGTTTCCTCTTTATGGGTTGCCTGTTCATATCCTTTGCTCATTTTTTTTCTGAGTTGTCTTTTTCTTGTCAAAAACTTATGGGAGTTCTTTATTTCAAATATTAATTTTTTGTCAGCTGTATGGATTGCAAATATCATCTCCCGGTCTTCTAAATTTGTGGTAGATTTTATCACCCAGAAGTTCTTCAATTTTGGATAATTTGGTCAAATACTTTCAACCAATTCATTTTTGTGTTTAATGTCTTATAAAAGATCCATTACTAGGGATGCCTGGGTGGCTCAGTTGGTTAAGTGGCTGACTTGTGATTTTGGCTCAGATCATGATCTCATGGGTCGTGAGACTGAGCCCCATGTCAGTCTCCGCACTTAGTGGGGAGTATGCTTGAGATCTCTTCCTCTGCCTCTCTCCCCACTTGCTCTCTCACTTTCTCTCTCTCTGTCTCAAATAAATCTCAAATAAATCTTTATTAAAAAAAAAGGATCCATTATTACCTTGGGTTGACTGTGATATGCTTCCATATTTTCTTATATTAGTGTTAAAATTGTGTTATTTTATGCATAAGTCTTTAATACATTCTGGAATTTATTTGTGTGTCTGGTGTGAGAAAGCAACCTAAATTTATTTTCTTTAAGATGGAGAGCCGGTTATTGTAGCACCATTTGTGAATTAGTCCATCCTTTCTCCATGGCAGTGTGATATCTCCTCTATGCTATACAGAGTGCTGAAATGAGCCCAGCATGTTTTACTGTTTTTCTGTTCCTGCAGCAACACCACACTGTTTTAATTACCGTGGATTATGATATACCCTGACGTATAGCAGGACAAGTTCCCCTCTCTTGTTCTTCTTTCACAGAATTATTTTTGTTATTTTTTAATATTTGCTCTTCCATCTGTGTTTTAGAATCAATTTGTTTGTTCTGTTCCACAAACATAATGTGTGGTACTTTTATTTCAATTGCATGGAATATACAGAGAAATTAATATAGAGATGAATTTTTAGTTTTCCCATCCCTGACATGGTATATTAATATCTGGACACCTTTTACTCAGGTTTCCTTTTTGTATCTTTTAATATAATTTTCCCTACAAATCATGCATTTTTTTTTTTTAAGATTTTATTTATTTGACAGAGACAGAGACAGCGAGAGGGAATACAAGCAGGGAGAGTGGGAGAGGGAGAAGCAGGCCTCCCGCGGAGCAGGGAGCCAGAGGCGGGGCTCGATCCCAGGACCCTAGGATTATGACCTGAGCCAAAGGCAGATGCTTAACCGTCTGAGCCACCCAGGCGCCCCCAAATCATGCATTTTTATAAGATTAGTCGTCTGTTATCTCATTGTCTTTGTGGCCATTAGAAGTATTATATTTCCTGATTAATTATTGCTGGGTTATTAGAACTTTCTTGATTTGGCATGTTGATCTTGGATCCAGCAACCTTGCTAAACTTCTTAGTTTTTAATAGTTTATAGATGCTCCTGCATTTTCTATGTGGACCACCATATTTTCTGTACGTAATGATGTTTTAATCTCTTCTTTTCCTGTCACTATGACTTGTATTTCTTTTTCTTATTTATTACATTGGCTGGGACCCCTGTTCGCTGTTGGGTAGTAGCAGTGATACTGGGCATCCTTATCTGTGGGTTGTGTTTATTACAAGTGTATAATGAATTCCCCCAGTGCATCCATTTTCACCTTTTTCCCCATGACATTTCCATTAAACACTTGCAGTATGGCTAGCCAAGGTTAAGGTAGGGAGTGTGGCCATGTAATGAAATTAAGTTACCATATTAGTAAGAGGACCCACGCTTTACTTCATTTGAACTCTTTCCTCACTTTCTAAATTAACCCATCCATATCTGTTGTCAGTCATTCAAAAGACAGTATATTAAAAATAACTCACTTTGAGAGATCTCAGCTACAAGCTTTATTGTTGAGTTTGACAGCGTTGGCTTCATTGGAAATGTCATACCATTAGAAACAGACGTCTAAACTTTTTGATGGTCTGCCAAAATTCTCATTGTTCACATTAATTTTGTTTTGCACTTTCATTTTACAGACTCCAATGAACCAGGCTTCAACTCGTTCCCACTGCATTTTCACTATTCACTTATCAAGCAAGGAACCAGGATCTGTGACTGTCCGGCATGCTAAACTTCATTTGGTTGATCTGGCTGGTTCAGAGCGAGTTGCGAAGACTGGAGTAGGGGGCCAACTTCTAACGGAGGCCAAGTATATCAACTTGTCCCTACATTACTTAGAACAGGTAAAAATGGGCACAATGGGGTGTAACTGTATCCACCATTTGCTGATAGACTTTGCATCAGGCACTCTGTTAGCATTGTTGTTTTGTTGTTTTCTTCCTTTATTTTGGTAAAATATACATAACATAAACTTCATCATTTTAATCATTTTTAAGTGTACAATTCTGTGTCATTAAGTTCACAGTGTTGTGTAACCATCACTTCCATCTATTTCCAGAACTTTTTCATAACCCCAAACAGAAGCTCTGTACTCATTAAACAATAATTTTCCATTTCCTTATGCTCCCAGTACCTGGTGACCTCTATTCTGCTTTCTGTCTCTATGAACTTGCCTGTTCTAGATATTCAAATACAAGGAATCATACAATATTTGTCCTTTTCAGTCTGGTGTATGTCACTTAGCATAATGTCTTCAAAGTCCATCCATGTTGTACTATGTATTTGAATTTCATTTCTCTGTAAAGCTGAGTAATGTTTTATTATATGCACATGCCATGCCCTGTTAATCCATTCATCCATCAATGGATGCGTGGGTCCTTAATCCTTTTGGCTATTGTGAATAATGCTGCTGTGAACAGTGGTGTAGCTACTAGCATTTTGTATATGCCATTGCATTTAAACCTTACAACAGCCCTATACTGCTGGTATTAGTTATTCCCATCTTAAAGATTATAAAACTCAGGTCTTCCTGAGGCCTTCCCAAGGTTACCAGCTAATGGTGAGATGAGGATTTGAATCTTGAATTGCTTGGCTCCAAAGACCATGTTTTCTTTCACTATACCTTATTGGTTTTTTTGTTTTGTTTTGTTTTTTCTCAGTACTGCTTTTTGGCAGCATTAATAATAACTTATTATAAGGCTGTTAAAACTAATTGTTTTTATTATAAAATTTGTAGTGGGTGTGAATATAGTTATAAATGGCCTCCCGTGGCCTGTCTTTTCAGGCTAGTAGATTAGTTGTGGGAACATAATTTAGAGATGACTGATATCTTTTCAGCTTCTGGTGACTTCATCTAGCTGGTGATTGTGATCCTATGAAGGTTCTCTTTGCCTTAGCTTCTTCCCCTGCCAACCCCTACCCCAAGTTTACTACAATCTACCCCAGTTTATGCTTTATTTTTGATTTCTGAATCTGACTCCAAGTGCAAAGAAAGCTCGTCTGAATTTAGCTAAATAAATTTTCCAGAAAAAAAAAAATCCTCATCCCTAAAATGAGCATATTGAATTAGATGATTTCCCAAGTTCTTCCAGCTCCATGAGTAAAGTGCTGTGACTTGAATGTTAAAGATGGCAACTGCTTCCAAATTCTAAGAAAAAAAAAAGAGAAGCATGATCAAAAACTGGAGTAGAGAAGTACAGAGTATATTGGCAAGGCAGAAGGACTTGCTAATGAGTGTTGGAGGCTAAAAGATTTGAAAAAACAAACAGACCTCCCCCCCTTTTCTTTTACTGCCTAATAAACCCTTTTGAGACTGATATTGTCCTGATGTTAAATGCTTTCTAATGGTCAAGTTGGCTGAGAAAGTAGATTGAGAGAAACCTAAGGGAGCTGTATCTAAACAAGGTGCATGCAGTTAGGCTCTCACTAAATGAACCCCAGTAAGGCAGCACCCAGAGATTAATGGCCTGCATGGTGTTCAGATGATTTTAGTGTTTCTGACAAGACTCAGCCTTCCCTACCTCTTCCTTGCTCAAATATTACATAGTACTTTTGCTTAACAGAGCTTTTTACTTAATAGAACACTTATAAAACACAGATATGAAAACATAATGGACTGTATTCAAAGTACTTTATTTCAAAGAAATATACCTAGTTGTTTCTGATGGTAGCACTGTCGGCTTTAATCCCCATCGTGCCCATCTGTTCATACGAAATTATATTCATTAGTTAAATCAGAATTTCCACCAATTGTTATCATTCAAGGAAAACCTTCTGCCCCTAATCCTCTCTCTTCATTCTACACAACCTTTGCAAGCTGCTACTTCTCATTAAAACTCTTCCTCTCCCCACATCTCTTCTCTTCAAAATTCTTATAACATCAGCCTCATGTGAGTAGTCTTGGTGGCTCTATGCATTTGATTTTCTATATAATGAACTTATTTACAAGGAGCAGTAGTGTGCTGAGGACTGCGCTAGGCACTGGAGCGTAGTGCTGAGCAAAGTAGAAACGGCCCTTGCTATATATACACAATGGAATATTATGCAGCCATCAAAAG